TGTTCGATCTGCCGATCTCGAATGAGATTGGATTTCCGCAGAAATGCTTTCATCGGTCGATTTCGCCGAAATGCCGAATCGAGTGATTGCGAGTGTAGGTTTCATTGGGACTGTCTGAGTCAATTGCATTGCCGAATGAGATCAATGCGTTTCCCCCGAAATGTTTTCTCTGATTGTTGCTTTCCTTAGTGCGACTGTTGCTCGACTGTAGCAATGGCCACGACCGCCAGGACCTGATGAGACTGGCGACTGGCGAATCCGTTGTTCGCCCGACTGCCTTTGTCCGAGTGCGCCCGGAACCGACTCCTGATGCTGGTGTCCTGATTGCGGATGTTGAGATTGGGAATGTGAGTCCCGCTGAGGAGCTGAGTGGGAATCGGGCGATTGATGCCGCAATGGGCATCCGACCGGTGCCGACATGTGCTCCGAATGTCGCCGCCGCTGCTGGCAAAGGTGCTGGCAAGAATGGCACCCCCGCTGAAGCCCTGCATTTGATGAGTGAGACGTTGACAACACACCGATTGTCGAGGAATGGCCCTGTCAATCGAGAAGTGTCTGCTGCACTGTCTCGAATGGACTTCGGGAAAGATGTCACGAAGATTTGGCAGCGACTGGACGAGTGTATCACGAGTGACAGCCGAGTCGAATGTGACAAGATTGTCTCGGAGGACTGCGACATTGCAGACCGACTGTACAATGCTCAGGTTGGGCTGGCTGAGGCCGTGTATCGTCGCGAGTGGAATGATGAGTGGGCCCCGATTCTGTGCTTCGTGATCCCTGGGATAAGGAGCGGAGGACTGTCAGGTTGCAGATTTGAGCATCCTGATGAGCGCTCGCATGGCCCAATGTCGAGCTTGCGATTGAGAATGCACTCCTTAGGCACCAATGAGGTGCAGAATGGCCCGAATGAGTGCATAGTGGAAACGGCCTGGTATGCAATGACCAGGGCTGAGAGAATGTTCCTTACCAAAGGGGACTGGCACCTGGAATGGAAGAATACCACCAATGCCAAGGAGAACCTCGTCCACGATCTGGTCAATGTCTTTGACTGGGTGATGCTTCCCTCGAGTGTCGGTGAGAAGTTTTACCCGACTGGCACGATTGATTTGTCACAGTTTCCCTGCCACCAGCTGAATGGCAGCTTCTGCGCACTGTCAGCAATGCGCAAAACTGCGCAATGGTTCTGCCAGGACTGCTTTGACGAGAATGCGGCCCACGAGGGAGTGGTCTTCATTGTCAGAAGGAGGAGCAAACTGGAGGCCCAGCGAAAATGGGTCGAAGCATCGAATGGAAAAATGAAGTTGGAGAATTACTTCAACAGGCAATTTACTGATCATATCTCCACCCAGAATGGCTTCCATGACAACTCTGAGGTGCCACTGGCAGTGGTGAATGTGCCTCGGAAGTGGATCTGGACTGTGCCAGATGAGTCAATGAGGAGCATGGGCATCATCCGAATGCCCCTGACTGATGTGATGATGAGAAGTACCAATGGCCCACCACTGCTCTGCCTCTCGGAAATGGCAGAATGGAATCGCCTGGCGACTTTGTGCTCTACCTGGGATGAGCTGTATGAGGAGGATGATGGAGAGAATGTGGATGCATGGAATGGCCCGACCTCCTCGTCAGCAATGGCATCCAAGAAGAATGCAACGACTGCATCTTCGGGCTCGGCGACTGTCCTTTCCCAGGTCGCGAATGCTCTGAATCCTGGAGCCGAGGTGGTCCTGCGAATGAACTCGAAGGCAATGACTGCGACAAAGAAGTGAGCCGCACTGAGCCTTGCAGCGAATTTAGGAGTGCATTATCGACTGCCACATTTTTTGGACAATTTGAAGTCTTTGTTGAAATGTTGAGCGGATTTCTTCAGCGGATTGCAGAGAATGAAGTTCTCGGATTCAACATTGTGCACAAAGGACCCGAATGTGAGCACATCGATTGTACAGTGCAATGTGCCTCCACCCTTTTGCAAAGACTCGAATGTTTTCTTGTTCGAGCAAAAGTCCAGAATGAGCGCAATGTGGTAGTTCGTTTTTTCACTGTTGCGATCGCTTCGTAACTGCTGCTATGCCTGGTTGTGATTGGTTCGTGATTTGAATGATCTTCGACT